AGGCGGAAGATGTAAACAGCATAATTTTTGTGTTAAATAATTTTTAAAAATTAAAATTCATTCTATACAGCAATCGCATATTTGGGTACCGTTTCATAAAACTTTCATGCTTAAAATGAATAGGGAGAAATGGAAGACCGGTGTGTATTTTTTCTTTAAACTATCAAGACCAGCCATACACAGTACAATTTATGTACATACAGTAATGTTTATGTTCCTAAATTAATATAATTTATGACCTTCAGATGCGTTATGCTCCTCTTCTTTTTATGCTCAGCTACTAAAATTTCCCTTTAGTGGTAAAATTCCATATACATATTCAAAACTAAGTGGATTAAAATGTGCACAGTAAAGACATTAAATGATTAAATCTTTTCACTACCAACCAATGCACCATGAGTGCCCCTGTCGGTCATTTTGGCCAGCCAATCACTTACCGCGGTACCCTGCGGTGGCTTGTGGGTAGGTTACTGTACTGCGGGTTTTTACCGCGCATTTTGAATAGCTGCATCTGTAGGTGTATTTTCTACAGCCTTCTCAGGAAGTACAGCTGCTGTTGTGCCTTCTTGATGAGACTGGAGGTGTTCAGTGTCCATGTGAGGTCCTTAGAGATCTGAACACCTAGGAATTTGAAGTTATTCACCATCTCCACCGCAGACCCTTCTATGTAGATGGGGGAGTGAACTTATCCTTGTCTTCTGAAGTCAACAATCAGCTCTTTGGTTTTGCTGATGTTGAGACATCGGTGGTTGGTTCGGAACCAGTCTGCAAGTTGTTTTATCTCCTCCCTGTAGGCAGTCTCATCATTGTCAGTGATCAGGCCCACGACTGGGGTATCTTGATGATGGTGTTTGTGCTGAACTTGGCAGTACAGTCGTGTGTGAACAGGGAGTAAAGCAGTGAGCTGAGCACACACCCTTGAGGGGCACCGGTGTTAAGGGTGAGTGTGTTGGAGGTGAGGTTGCCAATCCTGACAGTCTGGGGTCTGCTGGTGAGGAAGTCTAGGATCAAGCTGCAGAGGGTTGTATCTAAACCTAGAGCCCTGAGTTTGGTAGAAAGTTTTATGGGTAAGATGGTGTTAAATGCTGAGCTAAAGTCAATGAACAGCATTCTTGTATAGGTGTTCCTTTTATCCAGGTGGGTTAGTGTGGTGTGTAAAGCTATAGAGATTGCATCCTCTGTGGATCCGTTTGTGTGATAGGCAAACTGGAGAGGATCAAGTGTTTTTGGAATGCTGGCTTTAATGTGTGGAATAAGTATTTTTTCAAAGCACTTCATTATGATGGGGGTGAGTGCAATAGGGCGGTAGTCGTTCAGGCATGTGGGGGCTGATTTATTCGGTACTGGCACGATGGTGGTCGTCTTGAAGCAGCTAGGTACAGTGGCCTGGGCCAAGGACATGTTGAAGATGTCAGTACAGACATCAGCTACCTGCCAGGCACATGTTCTGAGTACCAGGCCAGGGATACCATCAGGTCAAGCAGCTTTATGTGTGTTCACTCTACTTAGTGATTTCCACACATCTAGCTTCGATAGTGTGGGGGGTGGGGTGGTAGGGGTGTCAGTGGTCCAGGTGGTTGGTTCAGGGTTATGAGTTTCGAAGCATGCATAGAAGGTGTTAAGCTTGTTTGGAAGAGAGGGGTCAGTAGCGTTTACAGGGCTTGTTTTACTCTTCTAGCTTGTGATTGTATTTATGTCTTGCCACATGCGTCGTGGGTTAGTGTTGATGTTGTAGTGGTGTTCTATCTGAGATTTGTACTGTATCTTGCCAGATTTTATGCCAGCTCTTAATTTTTTCCTAGCCCCTCTCAGTTCTTCCTCATTACCAGATTTGAAGGCTGCATAACGGGCTTTGAGCAGGGAGCAGATCTCAGTGTTCATCCAAGGTTTTTTATTCGGGAGTTTGCATATCTTTTTAACGCTCACCACATCATCAGCACATTTGCTGATGTAGCTACTGACTGCTGATGCATACATATCAATATCAGTGTGGGATCCATGGGAGGCTGCATCTTTGAACACACTCCAGTCTGTACACTCAAAACAGTCCTGAAAATGATGTGATGTACAGTGATATAGACGTGTGTAATGTCAACCCCATTAAACAATGTGCTTATCATGCAAATCCTGCGAAACTAGAAGTTAGACATAAGAAAAGTATTATTGGATAATTTTGTGTGGCTCTGGCAGAATTTCTCTGTAAACTGAAGAGTTATAGAGTTGACACATTGTGTATCGCCTCTTTTTACACTTGTAAGAACATTCCAATGCTAATGCGACATGGAAGATATTATTAATAACCTTATAAATCTGAAGCTGTTAACTTTACTCCACACCTGCATGTCAAGATCATGGTTTCAAAATAAAAAAAACATCAAACCTTTGATTGGATGAGAACGTCATGATTGTTTCACAAGGATGTGTAACGTGACAATTTGTTAGTTACCATTGGGGAGAAAAAAGTTTATTTTTTATTTATTTGTGGCTGCTGCAGTGTCTTGCAATGGATAGATAGTCAATACTTGCTTTAACGCAAAATTGCTTTATTGTCTGTGGGGGGAAGGGGGAGCTCTCCTTAACAGTTGACACTCCTCCATACGCTTAAGTGAACAATTAATAAAAACACCAATGTTAACATCATACTTACAATTTGTTGAGTATAAAAAGTTCCCTAAAGCTTTCTCAATCAAGAATGAGAATTCACACAGGGAGCTGTGTAAGCATGTGTAGGCAGCAAAAGATCAGCTAAAGAGGGAAGAAAACACTTTCAGAGAAAACAATGTTTAAGGTGTGAAAAATAAAAACATCCATTCAATTGCAGCCTAAACATTTTGCCACACACCCTGCCCCCACTGAGATTGGAATATACAAAAACAAAGCACTGAAAGCTTTACAGTAGATAATCAGGTGTTTTGCAGACCTAGGGATAGTATGTAATTCTGGCTTTATGAACTGAGACCTGGGATTTGATTAATTCAAAATATTTTTTTACAAATTGCGCCAGGTACTAGATCTTGTTTATATTAAAGTTATATCACTGGGCAGTGGTGGACGGTTAGTGGATAGCATGCTATTTTGTCAGCAACCTGCTAACCTGCTAAACACCTGTAGAAAACATTATTTTATTTCTGTACGGAATATGTGTTGCATTTACAAAATTAGTGTTTCAAATGTTTAATTAAGAAGTAAAAAGAACTTACAGCTTACACAAAGACCCAAAGACTCTACGTGCATAAAAAGTTTTTTTAACTGATTTATATACAGTCTTTTCATGTTGATTTAAGTGTCCTTCTTTCAGTTGGATTGCATGATTATTGTTATGATTTCTCTATTATTATCGAATCCATCAACCCGTTCACTTGTGATCATTTTGAAAATATTTTGACACGTTTCTTTTAACTCTGAGTTTTTAATGTCAAAGCTTAACTCGCTCTGAACGAGTTAAGCTTTGATGCAGGACAAATAAATGTATTTCCCACGAGCTATACTGTAGTGGCTTTAAAACTAGACAACATTGAGCTGTATGCATGTGTCACATCTTTGTTCAAGTTTTAAAGCTACAGTATGGCAAAATGAGTGTGAAGAAAAAACAGGACATTTGATTGCTGGTTGCCTTATTTTAAAGAGCAACAGTGACAACAATGCATGCTACTGAAAGTTCATCCCATCCCCGAGCAGAACTGCCTGTTTTATATAACAAAAAGTGGGGTGTAACACTTCTCTATAAATTGAAGTTTGTGAAGAGGGTGACAAATAACCCTGAAACAAATACAATTTTAAAATATAAGCAGTTTGAAATTATTCATTGTTATTAATAAATTACTTAGCTTCAAACATGTTGTGATATTTAGAAATATCAAAAATGTCAATATAGTGTCCATAATATTTGCTATTTTAGTTTTTCAAAGAAATGTTTATATGTTAAAGGAAAGCTCATGCCGGCATCTGGGCTCAAACCCCCCACCTCCTGCACACAAGTCACATGCCAAACCTATTATCCCAACACGCCACTTACCAGCTTTGCCTATAGCTGAAAAGGGTAGTCCAAATTTTTTCACGTAATCATGGGTGAATGAGTTAAAGTGATGCAGATGTTTACAAAAAAGTGGACCACAGTGTTACTTTGAGCTTATAGCCTGTCCAAGGTCTTCATTATTAATATTATTAATTATATATTCTGTATCGAATCAAAATTGGAATATTTTAACAAGTGTATGAGGTGATATACAACGTGTCTGATCTATAATTCTTCAGTGTACAGAATAATTTCCGCAGAGTTACACAACCTCGTCACGGGCTTACTTGAAGGTGTAACGCTTCACTGTCATGAAAAATAATGTCCAAAATATGTTTCCAAAATATTTTAGCTGCTTAGTTACACGACTCCATATTAATATTACTATCAAGTGGTATTAAATCAGTACAACTTTTATTTTTTGACAGTAACAGCAAGTGGTGTTCTTACTACCGTACTTATTCTTAGAAAAGGATAAATCATTTTCAGTTTTTATGAAGTACACAATATAAGCTTAATAATGTTAGAACAAACACGTAAAAAACAGAACCCATGTAAGTTACCAAGTTCAAGGCTTTAATGCATAAAATATTGATGCATAATTAAGATATTTATGATAAAGGTGGAAGGTTGTGTACTTTTTAATGTTAAATGATTAACATGTTGTAATACACAGTTTAAAATTATTAAAAATCTAAAAGCTGTACATGAGATGTTAAGCTTTATTAGCTCCACCTGGCAGTTTTACAAGGTGCTTCCGGACCTTGAAAATTATCATATTTCAATTTGCATGCGGTATGATGCAGTATGATGTGCCATGCCCACCGCGTTTTGACGCAGTGTACTCCACGCATTTTGAATGTCCGGATCTGTAATTCACAACATATGAATATTTTTACATACTGGAACCCGTGATCAACCGCTAATGGCAAGTAAACTGAATCATAAAGGGGTAATTACTGCTTGTCGCCACATTTCATTTCAGATTGCTGACTTTCAAATCCATGGCACAGTGCTTTATCATGGGCTGCAGCTGGATTCTGGGCTTCTTTCAAGATGCCATGTTCTTCAAATATGCGTTTGTCATCATCAACTCCTTGCAGGGACCTTTTATTTTCCTAGTGCACTGTGTGTTGAGCCAACAGGTAACTAATTGAAAGTACAACCTGCCACTACAGAAAAGTTTAATTTACACCTTGTCAATGTAGCTGCACATTTTTGTTTTCCCTAAAAATCACTGCAATTCATTTTGTATGGTCATTTTGTAAGTAATGCAAATTAAATGAATTCTTAGATTTTACAGCTGTTGTCTTTAAAGACTGTACATTGTAAATTCAAATAATGTTCTTACCTCAAAAATACAGTACATAACTTTATATCACAGTCAATATGATTTATTGACACTTTAGTCTTTGCAGTAAACCAATTTATTAGTCTAAGGTACGGTACACAGCTACAGCTTGTTCATCCTTCTGTATCTGACCTTCCCAAACAAGAGAATGTATGCTTATTTTCTCCATGCAGTGACTTGCTGATTTTCTGTTCGTGTCTCCTCTTTAGTATGAATTGGAATGTCTGTACACACAACCCATTCTTTATAACTGTACACTTGCTTATATATTATGGAGGCTTAAAATCATTTTAAGGTTTAGCTTCAAAATATAAAATAAATCAAATGATCAGAAAAGTTGTTCTCACAGAGTTCCTTAATCTTACACTATCTCTCTGACACTATTTGAACAGCCTCTGTTCTTCTGGTTCTATCGATCTGAAAATATAAACTTATTTTCTTAGGGTCACTTCAATGCTGATTAATTAAGCAAATAACTAGTTGTAATTAAAATGTGAAGATCCTGAGGCCTCAGAATATGATCTAAAAACAGCAAAGCATTTTAAAATGTTATAAGATGGAATCTTTGTGAGTATAAAAAAGTTTTTTATATTTCTACCTCAAGTTTATATACAGTACATTAAGAATGACAATGAAAAAAACAATTCCACTTTTGTCTGTCCATAGTACTTGTTGTTAAGAGACACTTTTTCATCCCCAGATAAGAGAAGAGTATAGAAGATGGCTCAGGTGCACACGCAGACAGAAGGAGAAATCTGAGTCTTCTGGAATTACAATGAGAACGTTTGAAGTAAGTGACACTTTTCAATCCAGAATATACTCTTAAAGGTATTAAAATTTCACATAAAATGTAAAAGTATGTTTTTCATTTCAGATCAGCATTAATCATAGCTCACTGCATTCAGAATATCCATATCTTGTATTTTTGCAATACTTGTGGAATAACATACATTATCTCATATGATGTACAGTACCATAGACTTGGAATTCCTCGTTTAATGTTCTGTGTTCTAAGCCAATATTACATATAAACATATATTGTGAATCTATTCGAAGCTACCTGTGCTTTAACATGATCTGTTCCAAATACTCAAGGAAACACCTGACCACCTTGTGTTGTGCTGAAATTCTCAAATTTATGTTCTCTGTTCTTGGGTAACATACTTTTGGGTTAATTTTGTTAAGGTGATAAGCTTAGTATTTAAATTATCCATACAAAGCTAGAGGACTCGATGCATGTTTAATTTGAATATTAACCCCTTCTTTTCTTCTTCAATTATCTTATTCTCTATCTCAAGCACACTAATTCTAAAATTAAAATGTATATGGAATATGTTAAAACATGCTTGTAGCACTGAGATTTTTTACTATCATTATCATTTTATGTATTACAACTATTTTCAATTTGCTATACTTAAACTGAATATTTCATTTGACTGACTTTGAGGTAGCATGCTATCACTTCAAACTGTCCTTTATCAAATCATAAGAGATGTTTTTAAGCTTAAACACAGCAAGTAACTTTAATTTAATACACAATAAATTTAAATAAAACAAATATTGGAGTAATTCAGCATGTCGGAATTAAAGTTATATTTCAGTCAATGTCAGTCTGGAGAGTATAGTGTATGAATGAAAAGCTGTAGCTAAGAAATAGTAGCCATATCACCCTGCACCTCACAACTGGCAACCCACTGAACCTAAGCAGGTGTGAGCCTGGTTAGTACCCAGGAGACCCAGGAGACCTCCTGGGAAAAACTAAAGGTTGCTGCTGGAAGAGGTGTTAGTGGGGCCAGCAGGGGGCGCTCACCCTGCGGTCCAAGTGGGTCCTAATTCCCCAGTATAGTGACGGGGACACTATACTGTAACCAGGCGCCGTCCTTCGGATGAGATGTAAAACCGAGGTCCTGACTCTCTGTGGTCATTAAAAATCCAAGGGCGTTTCTCGAAAAGAGTAGGGGTGTAACCCTGGCGTTCTGGCCAAATTTCCCATTGGCCTTACCAATCATGGCCTCCTAATTATCCCCCTCAATAAATTGGCTTCATTGCTCTGCTCTCCTCCCCACTGATAGCTGATGTGTGGTGAGTGTTCATTGGTGGTGGTGGAGGGGATCCATGTTACCTGTAAAATGCTTTGAGTGGAGTGTCCAGAAAAGCACTATATAAGTGTAAGAAATTATTATTATTAATAGTAGCAATATAATTACAGTCAAAGGTAAAAGTAAGAAACAACATCATTTAGAGTAGTGTTTGCTTGAGCAGGTAGTAGAAGATGGTGAAATGAAGAACAGTTCTAGCTGTTACCTAAATGTGATCATAATCTGGTGAGAAAGAAGAGGAAAGGTGAGTGGTAGATGAAGTCAGGATCAGTGTCAGTAGAATGAATTAACTCCAATATAGAATAAAAGGTCCAGTAAATCAACACTGCTCTATAGATACCCTTTAATTATTTATTTTCTTCTAGGAAACATCTACAAAGGAACATGAACCAAAATAAAACAAAAAAAAAAGAAAATGTGCTAAGAACACATGAACAGATACAAAACATCAGAAATGCTACTGTCTGTTGGAGAAAATGGAAATGTGTATAAATGTTACATGTACAAAATGTCTACAAATGCTTTGCTTTTTAATTGTTTAAAATAATGTGCATATTTTTGAATAAAAATATTATGATACAATAGCGATATTAAAAGGGAAAACTGGTGTGAAACAAAAATCGTAAAATAATAATAGTATATAACTGCAGTTTTGGATATATTTTATCATTGTATTGTTACAGCAATAGGTGACTGGGAAGTGTCTCTATGAGTTAAGATAATGTGTGTTACACCTGGCAGTGTAAAGATTTCCAATTTCAAAACAGATAGAATGTTTTCTGAGATGTAGGGGGTCCCAGTCCTGCAATGAAAACAATTGTAACATAAGGAAAGGAGAAGAGAAGGAGGAAGAAGAGGAGAGGAGAAAGATGGCCAGACTACAAGATGTAAGATGAAAGTCCCTAATTCATGATCATCCAGATAAAACCTGAGTGGAGCTAAGATGTGAATTCTGCTAAAGAGAGCTTGCTATACAGTATTCTTAGGGAACTTTTAGGTTTGCTGAGTAAACAATACCTTAGTTAAAGAGTGTTTTCTGCTTGTAGGTGGATATCTGCTTGTAGGTTTTCTGCTTGTAGGTGGAGAGATAGGCTCCCATTTATTTTGTGGCATCCGGGTTTGCTGAGAGAGAAACTTAACTGCAGGTTGAATTGCATTAATTTTAAAAGGCAATATATGTCTTATTTTGTCCACTGTATGCATTATTTAAGAGTTTAATATTTAGTAGCATTTGCAGGTTGAATTGCATTAATTTTAAAAGACAATATATGTCTTATTTTGGCTACTGTATGCATTATTTAAGACTTTAATATTTAGTAGTATTTGCAGGTTGAATTGCATTAATTTTAAAAGGCAATATATATCTTATTTTGGCCACTGTATGCATTATTTAAGAATTTAATATTTAATATTAGTCTGGGGTTTTCTGGGTGATTAAGATGTTAGGCCTCAGAAACACCTTGTCTGTACTGTAAATATAACAATTTGTGCATTGTATGTTTTGTTGTATGTAGTGTAGTGCTCATATTGTCATTGCTAATAAACATTTGTTCAGTCAAGTGTGCCTGGATTATTACTCTTTTCACATAGCAGTGAAGAACAAATGCATGTGCCTCTAATTATACCAAATGGTCTGCTACTGTATATTCTGAAGAAATCACTTACAGGTTGAGGGTTATGAATATTTATTTTACTTGTTAACTAAACTACTCAGTCAATTTCTGATATTCATCATTTTCATAACCCATAATTTGTAACAGTATCATAGTCATATGTTCCACAATGCCGTCATTAAACTTCACTGCCAAAATTCAGTCCTCTCAGTGTAACCATCTTCGCAAACAATGTCTTCAATTAACACGTTTGGTCCTAGAATGATACAGCCTAGCAGATCTTATAGGACACTTTATATTATCATTTTGTAATAGTTTGAAACTTGTGAATATCGTTTTGAGTATCGTTTTTAGTCAATTATTTTTTTGGAAAAGGTAGTTTTGGTTGTCATTGAAAGGAACAAGGAATTATAGTTTTGCTTTTGAAATTATTTCTAAACACCCTAAATGATAAAGATCACCTACTTCCGTTTTTTAAAATGAAGTTGTTACAAATGTTCAAAAAAATTGAGGCTCATGACACTTGCTTTGCAGTGAGACTTTGCTCTGGTTCAAGAATTAGAAATTGTACTGATGCATTTTGACACATTACAGTACATCCATTGCAGCAACTCTGATCATATCATACACTGTGTAGAAACCCTTTGCACTGGCAAAGTGGTTTTTTAAGTAAAAAATAAGCAATGTTTTACATCAATTTAATCTTGGTTTATTTTTAAAGTTTGCTCTTATAATTTGTATTATTAATAAATACATATTAATTCCGTTTAATAATTACATGTTCTATAATCAAAGTCTGAAAAAAAAGCTTCACATCATATTTTCTTGTCTCTCAGCCACAAACCTCAGCATACAAGTGGCCTTTAGCACAATTCGAATTTCTGAAATTCTTCTACTGTACATTCAGGAACACAGTAGGAACCTCCACTCTATATAGTTTGACACTATATATGTGTGACCTTCACATACCTCTCTGTGGATCCTTGTACTCTACCTAAGATGTTCTGCATAGTGTAACACATACAATAGCTGTTCTATATGAAGATAATGCAAATCTGAGGAGGTTGTGTTCTCTTATTTGTTTCTTAATCAGTGGCTCTGTGGCTAAGGATCTGCGTCTGTGACTGGAAGGTTGCTGGTTCAAATCCTGTGGCTGGCAGAAGAATACTACTCTGTTGCGCCCCTGAGCAAGGCCCTTGACCCCAACTGCTCCAGGGGCGCCATACAATGGCACACCCTGCACTCTGACCCCAAGCTTCTCTCCCTGTCTGTGTGTCTGTCTCCTCAGAGAAAAGCTGGGGTATGCGAAAAGATGAATTCCTAATGCAAGAAATTGTATAGGGCTAATAAAGAAACATTATATTATTATTTTAAATACTAATGCTACTGCTTTTCTGGCTTTTATTTACTTTCTGGTGATTGTGAATATTGTAGAGTTTACAGGTTCTTTTCAGAACAAAGGACCAGTGGAGACGCAATTAACAAACCAAGCACTAGCTTTATTCATTAACAACCACACAATAGACACGCACATGAGGAGACTGACGGAACACGTACACATCTTTAGGGTGGTAATTACTTAACAACACGCTATACTTTTATAAGACTACACAGGGCATTAGAACTACTAGGACATTATTTACACAGGTAGGGTCAGCCGCTGGTCATCGTGCTGACCCTCAGACTCTCCCCGGCTACCACTCCCAGCATGCCCAGCAGTACTACGAGCGCCTAGGGGCGCTTCCTCCTCACCACCAGGCGAGGGCGTTACAATATGTTTGTGTTATGTTCTGTTGATTCTATGTCCATCCTATCCTATTCTATGTGCTCCATTTTGTTCCTTAAAAGACTGATTTTCTAAAACTGTTAAACTTTGTTCTGAAAGAAAATCATCATAACCCAGCTTATCATTACTGTCTAAATGCAATTCTTGGTAATCGAAAAAGGAAGCTGTGGTCATGGGGAAGTTTTCTTAAAATATAGTACAGACCAAAAACTTACTCAATAGAACTTCTCTGAAAACACATGGCAATGCAAAATACAGAACATGAAAATTGCTTTGAGTTAATAAAGTGAATTTTTTGTTTCTATCACCTGGTTACATCTATAGAACCTTGAGTTACTGATGAGAGAAAAGATTGATAAGACGGAAATTTCACAACATACAGTATGGTAATGATATTCACAATCTTGTTGTAATCTTAGGAGTCTTGTCACAATCCATTCCAAACATAAAGACTTTGGAGGATTATTAATACAGCCAGCAAAAACGCTAGGCTTATGTGGCAGGTAAATAAAAGCTGTTACAGATGCAATACACTTACTCTTGATTATCTTAGAATCATTGAGTAAGCTGCAAGTTTTTTTTATACATAGCATTCAGAAATACAATCGAGTATCATTTTGTGGTGTATGCATAGATGAAACTTTTCTAAAATGTACAACAAAGTTAAAGATGATAAAAATCTGTAATCTGTAATCTTTCCACGTGTAATGTCATTAGAAAGTACAATAAGTTCCTGCTTTGTCTAACGATGGTATCAAAAAAGAAACCTGTGCTTAATGATAATTAAGGGACTTAGAAGAAAATTATTTATGTCGTTTAATTTTAAACACTATGTTATAAATGCAATTGGTGTTTTACAGCCATTGTGCATTACTGAGCTCCGTGTTTCCTCCTTCCCAGTGCTACCTCCCCCTCAGACACAGCGCACTGGGCAGCACGCTGTTTTCAGAGCCTCTGATTGGGGAAAAAAGACCTGCTGATCTGTTCTACATACCAGGAAGACAACAGAATATGATTTTTTCTATTCTAAATGTATGTTGTTTTTATGAAATTCATGTATTTTAAATGTTTAATTAAGAAGTAAAAACCTTACATCATAGACAGATTCTAAACTGATCACGAGGAAGAAAAATCATCCATTTTTTCATGCATAAAAAGTGGTTATTAACTATCGAAACCTGTTTTTATAGCTTTTAAAGTCGTGCAATGTCTAAGTAGGAACACATAGTTTTATTTCATTTTTGATTTATTTTTTGAAAATTAAAATAAATCTGTGAGTCTGTTTTTCTGAGAAAACGTGTCCGTGGGGGAAGGTGGAGTGTCTTTTGCTGGAAGACTCGTCCTATTCTACTTTGAAAATACCTGTGAAACCACTTTAATTCAGCACAGCCAACACTCCTGCAGAGAGAGATGAAAACCACACAGCGCCAGGCAAATGTACAACATTAATGTAGGGCTTTCGGGTTCACGTGGATTTACGTCCTACAACCTGTGGTACTGCTGTGTACATACAGTATGAACATGAAACATAAAAATTGTCAATATACTGTAGTTTCCATAATATTTGCTATTTTAGTTTTTCAAATAAATGTTTATTTGTTTGAAAACTCATAGCAGTTGCTGGATTTGAACACCCGACCTCACGCTTATAAATCACTCACTCAAGATGTCACACCACCAAGGCCAGTCATGTGATACACTGAAACAGCAATATACTTATCAAAATAGAAATATAGTTATACCATAATTAATTTATTTAGATACGCGAATCCATATTATATTCCCTATTAATCAAATTATAAAAGTATGCTTTTGTTTAATCCGATAACGAGCGTATTCACAGAAAAGGTTAAAACTATCAGTTTTTCACAAAGTGTATAAACGTATAGTAATATGGTCAGAAGGAGCAGGTAAAAACATTTCAAAATAACCACATGTACTGTAAGACTTTGATGCTTAAAATGTTTAGGGAGAAATGATATACTGGTATGTACTTTTCTTTAAAATACCAAGACCAGCAATATACAGTACAGTTTACATACAGTAATATGTTTATTTTCCTAAATTAATATCTTTTATGAGCATGGTGATTCTCAAGACTTACTTGGTATGATTGGAAACGAATGTGTGATCGGATCAACGAAATGGTGTGGTGTTACTTTTTGTCAATGAAAAAATAAAGTATTTTTGTTTACAAAGACGGTTACAAAGAATGTGGACCAGGGTAATACTCTGAGTTTACAGCTTGTCCAAGGTCATTCATTATTAATACTATTAGTAATATCTTCGGTAAAGACTTTGATGCATAAAATGTTTCTGCATAATTAAAATATTTATGATAAAGGTGGTAGGCTGTATAATTTTGTCCAACTGGGCAATCTTGCTTTCATAAAATATACCAACTTTTTTATGCATAATGATTAACATGCTGTAATACACAGTTTCAATTTAAAAGTCTAAAGAGTATACAACTTAAATTCTTAATTGGATAAACATTGCCCCTCAGCAGAGATCGGGATTCAAAACGGGATGTTTTCTGATGACAGCTCAAATGCTGTACAGGAGAGGTTAAGCTTATTAGCTCCACCTGCCGGTTTTACAAGGTGATTATGGATACAATTAACTTAATCTAATTTGCATACTGTATGATGCGGTATACTGCGACACGCCCACTGTGTTATACTGCAGCATACCCCGCTGCATCTGTATAAAAACGATATTCAAAATGAAGACAAGTGCTTGAAGCTATTAACATCTAGGCCAAAGGTCAGCATTTCGGATGCTGTATTTGTTTCTGGCTTTTATTCCATCACAGATGATAAGTTCTTAATTGAAATGATTAAGTATATAAAAAGTTGAGTCATTTAACTTTAACTAATTGCTAAATAAAAAGTGCCTCTTGTATGATGAGGGCTGAAGTTTACTGTCCCTCACTGTTACTGTTCCAGACAGTGTGGGGAAGCAACTAAATAACATCCAACAGAATGATTGAATATCTAGCTAAAGTAAAATTTAAATTAATAGAATTATGTTAAAATTGTACATTGTACTATACAGTCTTCATCTGGAAAGCAGTTTTTTTGTTACCATGATAAGGGTATTATATTTGTACAGCCCTCTGAACAACAGTTAGGACAATTAGATTAGTTTAATTTTTTTA